GAAACATTGTATCTAACTGTACTAAAATCAAGTCTAAACATTCTCATATTAATGTTACAAACAAAGCAATATTAGACTATAATGGAATAAGATATTCCTACATGGGGTGTTTCATAAAATTGTATGTTATTCAGGCTGAAAAGGAGCATTGAGTCATTAAGTGACCTTCTCTTTTTTTTTTTTTTTTTTGTGCAGGCGGAGTCCTGGCTCTGCCTCGCGCCAGGGCCAGAGTGCAGTGTCAGATCTCGCTGCACTGCAAGCTCCGCGTACGCCAGCGTTGAAAGCTGTGTTTGGCCCTAGCTCCCGAGTAGGCCGGGCTACAGGGCCTGGCCACCGGCGCGCGCGCCCGGGCTTGTTGTTGCCTGTCGGGTTGGTGTGTTCGAGACCCGCGGCGGTTATCCCATGTTTGCGGGATGCGTCTCGATCTCCCTGACCTCGTGGATCCGGCCCGTCTTCAGCCTCCCAAATGCAGGGGATTACCAGGCTTGAGGCACGCCGCCGGCATTAAGCTGACTTCTACTTGGCACTGGTGATTTTAAAAAAATTATGGTTCCAAAGAAAGCCTGCACCTTGGTATATCCATAATCAAACTCGTTTTTGTGTGCTATTTTTCAAGCGCTGTTAAGAGAGAAAGGTGGCGGGGGGGCTATCCTGAGAATTGACTTGTCCAGGGTGCAGACTGAGCGGCACGACTGAATTCCAGGGTTTTTAACCCACTAAAGGTCTTTTATCAGTTTTTTGCTCCCAAAGTGATTCCATCCTTAGACATTACCGGCGGGCGGGCCTCGAGCCCGTGTAATCCAGCACTTTTGGCGCGACCGCGACGGGCGGTCCGGACCGGTCAGGAGAGGTCGGCGTCGTCTGCGGAATCGGGTGAAGGACCCGTCTTATAAAAATTACAACAAAATAGCGCGCACGCCGAGGAGGTGTTTTCAGGATGGAGCCTGTTAGTTTCCAGCGGTGTGTGTGTGACTCGGGAGGCTGAGGCAGGAGAATGCGTAAGCTGGAAGGCGGAGCTGTGCGTGAGGCTGAGATCTGGCCATTGCACTCTCAGCCTTGCGCAACAGGCAGAACTCCGTCGGTCAAAAAAAAAAAAAAAAAAAGCTTAACGCCAACTCTATTAATGGATTCCATTAGTGTGCTTAGGAACAGGGGTGGGGAGAGACACTATAAGAAGAGCATGATCCCCATGTCTTCAAGTCAAGTTAGTGGTCTGTTGGGGATAGAATAAGCAGCATGTTCTCGTAATGTGAAGTCAGCATTCATGTAATTGTTAAATTGTCATGGTTAGGAGGGACAGTTGGTATCATGGGAGCCATGGGAAGGGGGGCAAGAAGGAGCACGCTATGAGATGTGGTGGTGAGCACTTTGGTGTTTGATTTCTGGGCTGTTGACAGGTGGGATAGGGTCAGCATTATCAAAGGACTAGCAAATTTTGAATCAGGGCTGATAAAACAGACAGAAGCAGTGCCCTACCATGTTTTAACGGACGCTAAAGAAATTGGCTGACTGGTTAGAAGCAGTGGTTTCTCGACCTTTAATGTGCACCAGCATTCACCTGGAGGCTTATTAAAACCCATATTCGGACCGGGCGCGCCGGTGGCTCGACAGCCTGTAATCCAGACTTTGGGAGGGCCAAGAAGGTGGATCACGCGGTCAGGAGATCGGACCCATCCTGGCTAAGCATGGTTAAACCCCCCGTCTCACTAAAAAATACAACAAAAAAAAACTAGGCCGGGTGCAGGTGGCTGGCGCCGTAAGTCCCGCGCTACCGGGAGCCAGGGGCTGAGCAGGAATGGCACGTAGAACCCGGGAGACGGAGCTTGCGAGTGAGCTGAGATCCGGGCCACTGCCCTCCAGCCTGACGGGCGGCAGAGCAAGACTCGTCTCAAAAAAAGGAAAAAAAAAAAAAAAAACCACACACACACAAAAACCCATATTCCTGGGCTTGACCTTCAGAGTTTCTGATTCATTAGCTCTGGAGTGGAACCCGAGAATTTGCAGTTCTAACAAGTTCCCAGATGATGCTGATGCTGCTAGTCTAAGGATCACACTTTGAGAACCACTTGATTAGAAGGTTGAGAGGCTAGAATCAGAAACTGTCAAATAACTTGTTCCAAAAAAGTGCATGTGTGTCAGATGTGAGGGTATACTGACATGGGAGAGTTCTGGAAAGATACATACCAAGCTCTAATGGTCCTCACTTCTGGGAGTGGGATTTAGAGACTTGGGGAATTTACTTTTTTACCTTTCTGTATTATTTTTGTATTGTGCACATAAAGCTTTTGTGTTTTAAAAATGAAAGAAAAATAAGAATCTTTTTTGAAGATATATAGTAAAATATTTATGGATTAAAAAAAGACCTTGCTAAAGTAATCTGGTGTCATCCAACAAACATTTTTAGAGTGTCTGCTATGTGCCAGATGCTGCTAGCTTCTGGAAATGCAAAGCCTTTGCTAAAGCTTGCAGGCTGGTGATGGTGATTGAGATGGGCAGATAACAGCTTTAGTTAGTATCATGTGAGCTTCCTAGGAGCAGGGACCAGGGTCTAGCTCTGTGCTTGGCTGATAATAGGCACTTAGTAAATGATGAATGAATGAGCAAATCCAGGTAAGAATTGAAGACAGAAGGAAAGAAAAAAAGGCCAAATGGGAGATTCTGGAAGAAAACAGGCAAGCCTGGATAGGAATGGTGAAAGGAAGGGGTGCATCAAAAAGTACTTTCAAGTACAAAGATTGGTAACATTTTGGGTTTACTGCAGAACTGGATGTCAAATTGTTTCTTCTAAAAGATGCCCCCCCCCCACATTTCTTTTTTAATAGCGCTTGAAAATAGCACACAAAAACTTAGCTAGCTTGATTATGGATGTTTACCAGGTTTCAGAGCTTTCTTTGGTAAATGAATTTTTAAAAATCACAGTGCTAGTTCTATAAAACTAATGTATAATATTTATCTACAATTAATTGTTCTCTCATTCATGTGAAATTAACTGATATATGAAGGATGTTTTAAATATTATACAAAAGTGGGTAGTATTATGTCTTTTGATTTTATCTCTTCAGTGAAAGGGCTAGTAGTCTACTCAAAGTTCTGTGATATGTCTCATAGTAACTGACAGAATTTGACATTTTATCAGTCATAAACAAAAATTTGTTGCCCAGGTGTGGTGGCTCATGCCTGTAATTCCAGCACTTTGGGAGACTGAGGCAAGCGGATCACGAGGTCAGGAGTTCAAGACCAGCCTGGCCAACATGGCAAAATGTCTCTACTAAAAATACAAAAATTAGCTAGGTATGGTGGCACGCGTCTGTAGTCCCAGCTACTCAGGAGGCTGAGGTAGGAGAATCGCTTGAACCTGGGAGGCAGAGGTTGTGGTGAGCCAAGATCACACCATTACACTCCAGCTCGGGTGACAGAGCGAGACTCCGTCTTAAAAAAAAAAAAAAAAAAATTGTTGTTGGCCCAATGGGGTGCACTTTGGAGGAATCCAGCTTCTTTGCCTTCTGAATTTAATTCTGTATAAACACTAATTACAATGGCAAACATTAATTAATGTTTTTGATAGGGAACTGATGTCCTCCCTGGATTTGGGAACAATGTGTTATATGGAGTCTTTTTGTGTGGAGGTGCCACTTTTTATCTTCCCTAGAGATTTAATATAGTAAATGAAGATTAATTTTCTAAGTACAGTGGTGGTTTCCACCAGGCTTTAGCTATAGCATTTGACAGTAATCCCCTTATTACCTAAAAGTACCCATGGTCTACAGTCTGGGGTTTTCAATTGATCAAGTAAAATTCTGGATATAGCCACTCTTTATACTTAATTTTATTACTTATTACGTTTTTCTATTGTAAGTCTTGCAGTGTTTTTTGTTTTTTTGGTTTTTTTTAGACGGATTCTCGCTCTGTCACCAAGGCTGGAGTGCAGTGGTGCAATCTCAGCTCACTGCAAGCTCCGCCTCCCTAGTTCACGCCATTCTCCTGCCTTAGCCTCCTGAGTAGCTGGGACTACAGGTGTCCGCCACCACGCCCGGCTAAGTTTTTGTATTTTTAGTAGAGATGGGGTTTCACCGTGGTCTCAATCTCTTCACCTCATGATCCACCCGCTTTGGCCTCCCAAAGTGCTGGGATTACAGGTGTGAGCCACCGTGCCTGGCCTGCAGTGTTTTTTCAAAAGATGCTGCTGTTTTTAGTTTTAGGGCAATAGCTGTCATTTTGGGGGTACCGCTAGTGTGATGGCCTAAGAAAATCATAAACCCAATAAATCAGAGTAAGAAAAATTATATGTAGCTCATAAAGATAACATGAAATTGCTTCCCATTTCCTTTTTTTTTTTTTTGAGATGAAGTATCGCTCTGTTGCCAGGCTGGAGGTGCACTGGCATGATCTTGGCTCACTGCAACCTCTGCTTCCCAGGCTCAGGCTATTCTCCTGCCTCAGCCTCCCAAATAGCTGGGACTATAGGTGCACACCACCACGCCCAGCTAATTTTTGTACTTTTAGTAGAGACGGGGTTTCACTGCGTTGGCCAGGATGGTCTTGATCTCTTGACCTTGTGATCTGCCCACCTCGGCCTCCCACAGTGCTGGGATTACAGGTGTGAACCACCATGCCTGGCCTTCTCATTTTTGGTAATAATTTAAGATCAGAAATCAGGCCAGTCTCTGTAGTCCCAGCTACTTACAGGCTGAGGTGAGAAGATCACTTGAGCCCAGAAGTTTGAGACCAGCCTGGGCAGCATAGTGAGACTCCTGCTCAAAAAAGGTTAGAAATCATGTCTGCTTTTCCTTTAATTTGTAATCATCATGTGGTAATCTTTCCAGAAATGCGTGCTTTCGAAACAGATATGGTTGTTTATTTAAAATGACAGTTTTATCCTTACAGTGCTTCCATATATATATATATTTTTTTTTTTTTGGTGGGGGGGGTCAGGGAAGGTGCTTCTTACAAAAGTGCAGCTGCAAAATACGGAGACTTCTGGAACAATTATTTGTTTTTTCTTAAAGCGAAAAAATGGGTGGGATCCAAGGAATCAAAGCAGTAGATGGACAAACCAGGAGCATCCCCAAGTTATTTTCAGGAAACAGAGCAACAAAACACAAAGGTAAAATTTTCAATCAAGGAATTCTTCCAACAACTTAACTTTAGCTAGTCTCGGGGACTCCAAAGCCCTCCCTTTCAGTGGAAAAGTATGACTTATTACTGCAAACACATTACTCCACTACAATAAACACCTTAAAACAGAGTTTTTGATCACATCTGTTTAATTGCACACAAGTAATACTACTGGGTAACTAGAACCAGGTGTGAATGTGTTGAGATTTCTACTGTTTTGCATGATAGTGCTTCTACAAATATATATACATATATATATTTTTGTTGTTGTTGTTGGTTTTTTTTTTTTGTTTTTTTTGAGACAGAGTTTCGCTTTTGTTGTCCAGGCTGGTGTGCAATGGCACAATCTTGGCTCACTGCAACCTCCGCCTCCCGGGTTCAAGTGATTCGCCTGCCTCAGGCTCCCAAGTAGCTGGGATTACAGGCATGCAGCACCACGCCTGGCTACTTTTTGTATTTTTAGTAGAGACGGGGTTTCGCCATGTTGGCCAGGCTGGTCTCGAACTCCTGCCTCGACCTCCCAAAGTGCTGGGAGAAAGTGTTGCTTTTAAGTCATTTTGTTCGGATGGTTTTAACCAGGGTGTTCACTAAAATATAACTTTGGATGATTAGTCCACAGGGTGTATTGCATTTCCAATACCCCCAGATAGGTACAAGTCTCATATTAAAGTAGTAATGATAATAACAGTACCTAAATTTTGTATGGGGCTTTTCAACGTTCAGAATTTTTTTTTTTTTTTTTTTTTGAGACAGTCTTGCTCTGTCACCAGGCTGGAGTGCAGTGGCACAGTCTCAGCTCACTGCAACCTCCACCCACTAGGTTCAAGCAATTCTCATGCCTCAGCCTCCTGAGTAGCTGAGACTACAGGTGACCGCCACCACGCCCAGCTAATTTTTTGTATTTTTAGTGGAGACGGGGTTTCGCCATGTTGGCCAGGCTGGTCTCAAACTCCGCCCACCTCAGCCTCTCAAAGTGCTGGTATTGCAGGCGTGAACCACTGCGCCCAGCCAATTTTCAGAATTATTTTATAGTAACATCCTGGTAAGCTCCAGTAGCCTAACCTGAGAGTATGCATTAGAAGGATTAATGATCAGATGGCATCAAGTGGGGAAAATTGGTTATAGAGGTCAGGATGCAGATTGCTCAGATTCATATCCTTGCTCTGCTGCTTGCTAGCTGTGTGACCTTTGGCAAATTACAACAAATTTCATCTGTAAAATGGGGTGGATTACAGTACCTAGCTAAATATGTTGGGAAGCAAAATGAAATCATGAGTCGATAAAATGCTTATCACGGTACCTGGCATAATGTAAGCGCTCAATAAATTTGGCTAGTATGAGTATTATATACTGCATTTTAGGGCTCTTGTTTGTCCTTTACCTCACTCAGGCCGCCTTAAAGTACAAATTGTTTTCAGGGATTCCGCCTTACAGCTGGCAGGAACCCGGTGCCATCTAAGAGCACGCCCAAGGGCTTTGCTGGTGGTAGCTTTCCTCGTGTCCTGAGTGGCCTTCTTCAGGAGTGGAAGGCAGGGGGTTGTGCTTCTGCTTTTAGAGTTACCTTAGTATGACTCCTGTGTTAAAACTTCTGCTGGCCGATGGGTGTCTGGGATTAACCAGAAGGCTTCTAGATGGATCTTGCTTTGTTCTAGCAGTTATTTATACCAGGACCCTGGGATGGATAGAATTAATATATAGGACAGACTCAGATTCCCAGCTTGGCAGTCTCTACAAACCTCTCATTTACCACCTTCTGCCAGAACCCAGGAGTGACACAATAGGAAGGTGGGCCTATTGCAGGGATTGCTGCCCTTTTCCTTTCAGGAAAATATGAGGGGTGTGAATGGCTCTTATCTAGGCCTGAGGATGAGCAGGGGTACTTCCTGTTACAGTGAGGATCTGTGAGCATACGGGCTACTTAAGTAGCTGCCTTTGATCCTTCCCACCCCTTAGCTTATGGAGATAGGGGGGATAGCATCTCTGAGAGTATTTCTTCTGGCGAAGAGGTACCCAGACTTTCCTTTATGCAGTGAAAAATCTCAGTGAACTGTATTTTTAAAAGTGTTCCATGGAGCTGGGTGGTTTGGCTTGTTTATCTGGCTTCCTGGGGGAGTCCCCTGAGATCCTTTGCTTTCCTAAGGGCCCCCAGGAGACAGCAATAGAACCAACATCCGTTACCGTTACCGTAGACACTTGAGGGGATGTTTAAGTCAATAGTTTTATGATTAGATTAATTCAGGCTTTAACCCTGAGGAAACTTAAGAGCCAAGTCTTCAGATAATTGTGCATCTTCTAGACTGAAGTATGGAATTTAGCCCAGTACTCTGGGATCTCTTTCAGAGCTGAGCTAGGAATCCACATGCTAGTTCCAGCTCCACACCTAGCTGGCTGCGTGAATTCAGAAATCACTTCAATTTTCTGGGCCTCTTTTCTCACTGGAGAATGAGGGCATTACTGTAAACCAGTGGTTCTTAGCCCTGGCTGCATGTAAGAATTACCTGTGAAGCTTTAAAAACAATACTCAGGGCCTACATTAGCCCAATTAAATTGGATCTTTAAGGTTGAGGCTGAGTCGTTGATAATCTTCTCTGCTTCCCAGGTTTAAGTGTAGCTAAGATAACTATGTGCACAACATGACCAAGTTTTAAAAAAAAAAAAGTTAAGCTTCTGTGTCATTATGCTCCTCAGAAACCTTCAGGGGTTGTCTGTGTGGTAAAGTCCAGCTCAGGTGCTCTGCGTTCTGACCCAGCCTACTTCTGCAGCTTGTCTTCTTGTCCAGCTACATTGTTCTTGGTGTCTCCTGAATGTATTGTCCTTTTTTTTTTTTTTTTTTTTTTGAGACAGAGCCTCGCTCTGCTGCCCAGGCTGGAGTGCAATGGCGCGATCTTGGCTCACTGCAACCTCAACCCTCTGGGTTCAAGCCTCAACATTCCGAGCTGGGATTAAGGCATGCACCATCATGCTCAGCTAATTTTTGTATTATTACAAAATTTGTATTAATTTTGGTGATAATTTGTCACCATGTTGTATCACCATGTTGGCCAGGCTGATCTTGAACTTCTGACCTCAAGTGATCCTCCCGCCTTAGCCTCCCAAAGTGCTGGAATTACAGGTGCCCTGCCTGAATGTATTGTCTTTAATTCTTTCCCAAACCTGATGTCCTCACCTGTAATGTCTCTTTTCCCTTCCCCTTTTCAAAACATATCCCTTCAGGGCCCATCATTCTCCCCTCCCTTGGGAAACTCCTGACCATCCTAGTCCTTAGTTATTTCTCCTGCCTCTGCATAGGTTTTGAGCTTCATTAGCTCTGAGTGTATGTTCCAAACACTAACTGCAATGTAAACATGATAACTCAAGCAACATTCAATCCTTCAGAAAGTGGGACACATGTAAATATAGATTGAGTATCCTTTATCCAAAATGCTTGGGACCAGAAGTGTTTCAGGTTTTGGATTTTTTCCAATTTTGGAATATTTGAATTATACTTACCAGTCGAGCATCCCTAATCTGAAAATCTGAAATCCGAGTGCTCCAATGAGCATTTAGTTTGAGGATCATGTCAGTGCTCAAAAAGGTTTAGATTTTGAAGCATTTTGGATTTTGGATTTTCAGATTGGAGAGGCTCAATATGTGCCACTGGGGTGACTTGTATACTGTTAAACGTGTGATATGGTGTATTGTTGGCTATTTCATTATGTATGTATATCTTGTAAATATTAGTTGATGGATAACTATCCATGACCAGCCTCCAGCTGTCATTTTTATCCTTATTTCCTATTTCCAGCAGACCCTGTGCCTTCTCATCTCCTTGCCTTTAAGTTGTCCTCCCTTTCTGGAATTTCTTCTTTTATTCTTATTCTCGTCTACAGAAATTTTCTGTTTCTCAAGGTGCAGTTCAGATATTACCTCCTCCATGAAACTTCTTCCCAGCACCCACAAGCTGCATTGCCTCAATTATGCCGTAAACCTCTGTAACCCTTAGAGCAGTGGTTCTCAATTGGGAGTGATTTTGCCCCAAAGAGGACATTTGGCATTATCTGGAGACATTTTTGGTTGTCACAGCTGTTGGGAGAGTGTGCCACTGTCATCTAGTATTGTAGGCCAGGGATGCTGCTACACATTCTACAATGCACAGGACAGACCTCCCACAACAAAGAATTATCTGGCCTAAAATGTCAGTTGTGCCAAGGTTGAGAAATTGCCTTTGAGTTTGTCCAGTTCGTAAGCTTATATGTATACTGCCTTGAACTGTAACAATTTGTTTATAGACCTTATCTCCCCTACTTAATTGAATTAATGGGTGAAGACTAATTCCAGTCCTCCATCTGTGCTTTCTTGTTATTCACTACATATCAGGGCTTAATCCTAGAGCCTGTGGCCTAATCCTAACTGCTTAAGCAGAGATAAAGACATGTTCAGTGTGGAGTGGGTGTGGTGAGGCAGTCTTCTCAATTCTGAATTTCTCTTCTTTTCACTCTCTGTCTTTTCATCTGTGATGACCTGGGAGAAAGTGTGATTTAGGGCATAAAGTGAGCATTTGGGATAAGAATACCTGGGTTTCAATTCCAGCTGTGCCATTTATTAGTTGTGGTATTTTCGTCAATCCATGTCACCTCTTCTATTTTTTTCTTTTAGACAGAGTCTCGCTCTGTCACCCCGGCTGGAGTACAATGGCACGATCTCGACCCACTGCAAAGGTGATCCACCCACCTTGGCCTCCCAAAGTGCTGGGATTACAGGCATGAGCCACTGCGCCTGGCCATGTCACCTCTTTAAGCCTTAGTTTCTTCATATCTGTAATAGCCATGATGCCAGTGCCTCAGTGTTTTAGCTCATGGTACCATCATGATATTCCAGTGAGATGTTAAACGTGAAGGTGCTCTGTAAATTGGAAAGTGCTGTAATGATTACTCATATATCCACTGTTCAAAGGTATAAAGAGAGAGGATGTGAATCTGTTTGCTTAGGAGCTCTGCTGACTACCTTCCC